AGAATTTGTATGTTAATGAGGCCACATAAATTCAGTTATGAAAATATTACTAGAGTGATAGCATTTAGAAATATTACATAAAAGAAATAGGGGAAATACAGTAAAATTATTAAAATTTCACACATTTTCAAGGAAAACCAGTGTAGAATTTTCAGTTAAATGTACTTATGTTCTTTAATTTTAAATAACCTTAAATAAGGAGCTAGTGAAACTTACTTTTCTATACTAAAGCTTTAAGCAAATTTTTATTTTTAAGCAAATCAAGAATAATTTTACTAAGCTTCTTGTGTACCTGCCGAGGTAGAAATCATAACACACACAGACACCTGGTTCCTTTCCTTTTCTTAACACTCTCTGGTAAATGAGCCACAAAAAGAATTCTAGAAAATATCTTAGCTGTACGTATTTATAAAGTTAATATTTGGCTCATCCTTTAAAAAATAAAATAACTTTTGATAAAGGATAATGCCACTGTGCCTGTAGATTACTATGGAGTTCAGAAAAAGTTACTAAAGATAAATTAAAACATTAAATCACGGCAAGATCACCATCCTTGCAAAGCATGCACTGACTTCCTCAGAGCCACCCAGGGGGTTGCCGGGGGACACGGGAGGGGAGGCTCCTGGGGACACTGCATACTTCCGAAGTTTCAGTGGGAAGAGACTTTAGGAAAGCTCCCGTGAGGATTTCTAGCCCTAGGGTCCCACTTATCCAGCTCTGAAGCAGACCTGCACCCCTAGACCAGCACAGACCTCACGCACGGCGTGCTCCTTCCTCACGTGCCTGGTGATGTAGCGGATGGAGTCCAGCGCAGCCTCCAGCACACTTCTGGCCGGCCCGGGCCCACCGCCCACTGCGGCCTGCTCTCTTTGGGTGCAATACCTGTCCACATGGCTTCGCATGCACAGCAGCTTGGGGAGACGGTGCAGGAACACCTTGCGCACCCAGGGCGCCATGGCACTGTGTGTGGAGGAAGAACGGTGGTGAATGTTGATAGCAAAGACAGTCACCATGATGGACAGTGTCACGAAGATCATGGTGAACACGAGGTATTCTCCAATCAGAGGAATCACTTTGGAAGAGGAGGGGATGATCTCTTCGATGACCAGGAGGAAGACAGTCAGTGAAACAAGCACAGAAGTGCAAAGGCTAATCTTTTCGCCCTCATCTGAAGGGAGGTAGAAGACAACCACAGTGAGGAAGGACAGCCCAATACAGGGAATGATCAGGAACAAGGTGTAGAAGAGAGGCAGCCGCTTGATGACAAAAGAGAACGTGATATAGGGGTACCAGCAGCAGCTGTCGGTTCTATTTCCTTTGTTCCCTGTTGCGCTCACAATTTCCCATTCTCCATTGTCAAAAAAGTCCGTCCTGTCCACATGCTGGTCCTCGAGGATGATATCAACCTGCGACCCATCGTAGGTCCAAGACCCGAACTTCATGGAGCAGTTCTGGAGATCAAAAGGAAAGAAGGTGACATCTATGGTGCAGGAGCTCTTGTAGTTTGCAGGCTGGGTCCAGACAACAGTGCCATTGGCCCTGACCACGGTCTTCGTACTGGTGCCTTCAAAACGTCCGTCTGCACTGCGAGACACACGTGAGCAAGAACAGTGCAGGAGTTAGACAGGCTGGTGCGCACTCTGCAAGCCCAGGTAAAGCCAGCCAAAACGGAAAGCAGGAAAGAGTCAAACATACCTGCTGAATAGAGGGACCTGCTCAGGGACAGCTTTCTTCTATATCTGATGCCACTGTTCTTCCACATTTGCTTGTAACTGACAAATTTCTCTATCTCCCTTTCTGCAGCTTTAGGGTTGAAAAGACCTCACTTTTTACACAAAGTAGAATTGGGCTATTTACACACAGAGGTAGGACCTGAATCCATGCTCCTCTTCCCCACAATCTGGTCTTCCTGCAGCACAAGTACTGGCACTTGCTCCTCAGGGGGAAAGAGCACTAGTACAGGGGGCATTGGCACAGGTGGACATTGGCGAGAGGCAGGTATGGCCCCAGGATGGCACAGCCTCTCAGGCTCCCCCACCAGTGAGCACCTACACTCAGCTGCCAAGAACAAAGCTGATCCCCAACACAGGGTTTCTTCAGTCTTGTTCTTTTTCTTCCAATTCACATGCCTTTGGCAGCACTCTGTGGTACTCCCATGTTTAGTATAACACTGCTTTCAATCACTAAGAGTAAAGTGGAAGGCAGGAGGCTGTGTCAATTGCACGACAAGCCCTACTTCCCCTCCTACACTGAGAAACACAGAGGCAAAATGTCTCAAGAGATCCCTGGTGTGTGGCATCTCCTCTGTCCTCATGACAAGTGCTTTTCTGTAAATAGGCCAGTGTGCTTTAGGATAAGTACAAATTCCCAAATTTTCCCTCTTCCCAAATTAAATAGAAAACACCAGGCCTATTGGCACATGGTACTTGGAAGGCTGAGACAAGAGGATGCCAAGTTTGAGGCCAGCCTGGGCAATTTAGCAAGCCCTGTGTTAAATCTAAAATGGGCTGGGTATCTCACTGGTACAGTGTCCCTGGGTTAAATCCCAAGCAATGAAAAAAAAAATCCTCAAAACACACCAAGGCATGCCAGGTGTGGTGGTGCACACCTATAATCCCAGCACTTGTGAGCTAAGGCAAGAGGATGACTGCAAGTTCAAGGCCAACCTGGGCTATACAGCAAGTTCAAGACCCGTCTGAACTATATAATCCAACAAACATTCCTTAGCAAGTGCAAATGACAATACAGTAAACAAAATTAGAGAGATGAGTATGTATTTGAGCATAATATATGAACTCAACCATTTCCCCCAAATCTGAAGACTGACAAATAGGTAATCTAGCACATAAGAGGGCAGATGGGGTTGTCACTGAGTCATGGTGTGAAGCCCTGCCTGACCATGTGTGAGCCCTGGGACTGGATGCCTATCTATAAACAAGGAGGCAGTCGTGCCTGGCACATGGGCTACCGTGAGAATCAAATGACACACAGCACTCCAGGCCCTGGTCATCTATCGCTGGGCACATGAAAGTTCACTGCACGTGTAAGCTAATGGCAGCAATTGCCTTCAATTTCCTCCCTTCTTCCTTCTACCTTTCGGTACCTACCAAAGCTTTTGCAAATTTTAGAAATCAGAACACTTTTATATTTAAAAAAAAAAGTAGAAAGATCTATATAACTTATTTGTAGGTTTATGAAACAAAAGCACGTAAGATTAAGTTATTTGGTTTTACAACTAAACAATTTTTGAAAGGGAGAAAAATTACTAAAAGCCTAATAGTAATACAAGCTTTCTTTTTTTTTTTTTTTTTTTTTTGAGACAGGGTCTCACTATGTAGTTGAGACTGACCCTGGAACTCACTATGTAGCCCTGGCTGATCTCGAACTCACAGCGATCCCTCCTGCCTCAGCCTCCCGTGTGCTGGGATTACAGGCATGTGCCACCACACCCGGCTACAAGCTTTCTTTTGAAAACATAGTATTTAGAATGGAACTTACTTGTCAAACAGAACAATGTCGGGGGTCCAGAGAGAGTCTGAAGGGACGCGTATAACCTTTATCCCACCATAGTCATCAGGGTTCCATCTCAATTTTACATCAATCCATTCCTTAAAAATGAACAAATATGCCTCAATTTCAATCAAAATGGTAGTCAGAAATAGTGAAAATGGGACTGATTACCAAACCCAGAAGGTTTGGATATGAAATCGTCTCTACCCCATCTCTGGTGTGGCACTAATGCAGCATCCTGTCTCCTGGGGCAGTGGCTCATAAGACACAGGTGACAAACAGAGCTGGTGCCCTGGTAGCTCTGTTCAGCACCTCTGCTCCTCCCACTGACCACAGCCAGGACTATGTGAACCCCAAGTTCTAGGATCAAGGGAGACATTCTTCCAGCTGGCCTGTCACCTGACCTGGCTGGATGGGCTATGCACATGCAAAGTTAAACACCTTATCCAGCCTCCGTGCGGTAACAACGCTGTGATCGAGTTCAGAGCTGCACTCCAAGAAAAGCACACCATCCTTCAAGAGTCTGGAGATAGGGTGCTGGGCTCTGCTGTGAGAATTAGGGGTGACGAGGAAAGAACAAGGGGAAGCACCAAAAGCTACTGAAGATGTATGTCACGGTAGCCCAGACAAACTAGGACTTCTAGATAAAAAGAACCCTGTCCATAAAAGCAATCAATTACCTTCTCCCTGTTCCCATCTTACTCTGAGTAAAAGCCACATTCTCACCGGGCCCGTGAGTCCCGGACTCCATGTCCGGCCCCATCTCTACCCCTCCCCAGAATACTCACCTCGGCCATGCTGTTGCCTTGTTACTGCCCAAGGTGCAGCCAAGTTGCCCTCCAGGCTCAGGGCCTTGGTGCTTGCAGGCCCCTCTGCCTACAATGCTCCTCCCAGCACCCACAGAGCTTGCTACCTCTCCTCCGTGTTCTCCTACAACCTGTGCCTTCTAAGGGACATCTTTCCCCACCATCCCATGTGTAAGTATAGCCTCTACTCCTTGTCCTCTCTCAACCATCCAGCTCTAAACTCACCAGCGACCAAGGTGCATGCAACTTACTCGGTAACTCTCCCTCACAAAATAAAGTTCCTTGAAGACAGGGATTTCTGTCTGCCTTGTTCACTATTTTTTCCTAATGCTCAGCACAATCCCTGGCCCATGATAGCCACTCAAAAAAAAAAAACTAAATGAAGCTGGGCCTGGTGGCACAGGTCTGTAACCCCAGTACTCTGAGAGGCTGAGGCAGGAGCGCTGCAAGAATGAGCCCAGCCTGGGCAACTTAGCAACTTGGTGAGACCCCGACTGAAATTTAAAAAGGGCTGGGGATATAGCTCAGTGCAAAGGCCCTGGGTTTAATCCCTAGTCCACAAATAAACAACTGAATGAATACAAGAACCCTGTCTACTTTCTGCATCCTGCCCAGCCACAGAGACTGCAGAGATGCCCTTCACGCTGCACCCTTGTGATCAAGGTGGTGCCAGCCCCTAGCTGAGGGTCACCTGAATGGTACACCCACCTGCTTCAGCCAGACATTTGTTGTCATTAACTGATTTTTCTCATCCTAGAAAATAAAAATTTAAATAAAGTTGATTATTTCAATTACAGAAAAATTGTTAAATAAGAACTTTTGTCCATTTTTATACAAACATGCCTACCCTTACAGACCTGACATTCTGCTCATCAATCTTGTTCTCTGGGTAAGTAGCATCTTTTTTCCAGCCTAGTTTCACATTACACCTTTCCACATACTCTGTATTTCAGACAAGCGGGCCTAAAGCATACATACTATTGGTGTTTCTAGGTTTTACATTCATTTCCTTGAACCTAAGACACAAGCACAGCATTATTTTTGTGTGCTCCACTCTGAGAGGAAAACTAAGCCTGCTAACAGACTGCAGGCGGCTGAAGCGGACGAGCCTGTGTCTGAGTCAGTGCGCCCAGCATCCTGTCCCCCAGGGACCCACCCACAGGAAAGCGGGATCTGACGTCCTGCGGGTCTGTGTAGAGAAAACACGGAGGCTGTGGCCTTCAGTTCCAACTTCACAAAGCTTTTAAATCTTGTTTTTCTAGAGAACGTGGGGTCTCTGGAAGAACTTCTCACTTGTTCCTTCTTGCTGTCGTTATCTTTGTAATGCCTTTCCAGAATTTTGAAGACTTAATTAAAGTGACATTCCTGTCACTTTACTGAAATTTCAGAAGCCAACTGAACCAGCCGCTCACTAAACCACCAAGCATAAATCCATGATCTAGAGAGGAGGTGATGCTAACAGAGACCCACAGAAGAGAGGGGCGGGTGGGAAAGAGGATGGGGTGCATACAACTCAGGTGACTGTTGTAGTAAGAGAGGAGTGACCAGGTAGACATCCCTGGGGACAATGGAGGCTCTAAGATGTCCCCCAATGGGAAGGATGATCACTAGAATATACAATACATTCATCCCTCCTATGCTGCAGCTCCCAAGAGCAATTCTCCCTGATTAAGGAGGACCTGGGGCTTTTATCTACTGTGGCCCCTTCCTTCTGCAGATATAGAAACCAGCCCCGTAAAGGCCCTCTGCCTTAAGCCACACCAGCAATTCCTGGCAGAAGTGATCCTAACACTCGAATCTCCTAAGTCTACCCTGCCCCAGAAGCTCTACGGTCTACCCCAAAGACACAGCCTACCAGAAAAACCGCTGACTCCTGTAACAGATCATAGCTATTTGGCAGAAGTGCCAAACAGAGGCATTTGCTGTTAGAAAAGTTCTGGCAAACACTTTATCTATGATACTGTATGGAAGGGAACCATCTTTGAGAATCTAATGACAATGACCAGCCCTTCCTCTAGAAAAATGTGGAAACTCATACATTTTGCTCTGTAGGTTAGGACTCAATCAAAACTTAGTGTTTGCAGATGATTTTGGCCCACTCAACTGTAACAACCCTGTCTACAAAAACCAAATATAAAATTATAAAAAAAACTTAGTGTTTGCAACAGCAGCATGCATATATACATATATATATATATGTATATACACATACATACACACACACACACACACACACACACATATATGCAAATGGCCCCAAGATGTGGAAGTTCGCCCAGTACTTGGGGATGAAATGTAGCATGATCTCAGCTGTCTCCCAATATCTATAATGTGCTTAGCACAGTGGAGACAACAGAAATGAAACTGAGGGAGAACAGACAAGGCTAACACCAGGAGAAAACCACAAACAAATGGAGTATTAAAATACACAGAATAGTAGATTTTAGAGGTAACAAGTTTTTAATCTAATTGAAAAAAACCAACATGGAGATTAAAAAAAAAAAGAGCAGAACACAAGGAAATAAGGGAGCTGTGAGTGTTCAAGGAGAGTCACCAAGCTTCAAGGAAAGGTTCACTGGCAGGAGTATGAGGCCACCTAGAAGCAGGTCAGAGAATGTCCTGCTTTACCTCGGACTCCCTGGCTCCAGCCTCCCCTCTTGCAGTCACTGTCCTTACATTTCCCGAGCTTGGTTCTCAAGAAAAAGCCCTGGCCACTCCTCTGCTGGGCTCTTTCCTCTGCTGCTTTCGGAGTTCCTCTGGGATAGGCTCCTATTCTTCCTCACCAGCTTGAAAAACTGATCAAGGTTTCCTACTCTCAGCCCTGGCAAGGACTTCCCAGCTAACGTCCTCGGCCTCATCTCTCACCTGAGGGTTCGTCTTGACTTCCCCAGGCTGCAGAATGATCTTTGAAATGAACATCTCAAGTTGTAATCAATCTCATCATCAGCTCTGCTCTACTCCCACAATGATTTTATCTTTCAGATCTGTTGCTTTTCCACTCTAATCACCCAGGCTCCCAGATCTCAGGCCGCCTCCCACACTCAGAGGCCAAGTCCTGCTCTTTCCTGTGCATAGTCTTCTAACTTCCTCCCAAGCGTCCCTGCAAGTTATGACTACCCTGTTGGTCTTCCCAGAGAGCTTTTGCCATGACTGGTGCCCTCAGACCACACTCCTTCAGTGCTGACTACGTGCATTCACTGCACTGAGTTCCAGAAGGGACCCAGAAATAATGGCACCTTGCTCAGAAGATGCCAAGCCTGAGCTCCAGCCAGTGTGACAGGAACTGTACTCAAGTGCAAGAGACTGAACAGGGAACAGGCTTCTCAGGGCATCCAAGTAGACATCCCAAAGCACCTGACAAATGAAGCTGACCTTGAAGAACAAACGGCTTGGGCCAGAAGAGCTCACCAAGCAGCATACAGCAGTGGCAAAGGGCAAATGGCAGGAAAGGGACACTTGTCACTTGCTCAGCCATTCAATCAACCCATTCCTGAGAAGCAGGGCTTCCAACATGGACCTCTGGATTTAAAAAGCTCCACAAAAGGCTCAGGATCACTTACACCCATGATTATATGGTTCTTTTGTACTAAAAGTATTTAACTCTCTGTCATGTCAATCCCTAGGCTGCCTGAAAAGCCAGTTCAGGTGCCACCTCCCCTATCTGGCCTTCCTTAACAATCCCAGCTATGGAGACCAGGAGTCCCAGGCCCTCACAGAGGGCACTGTGATTTAGTACACAGTGCTCTACATGACTCTGCTTTGGGCAACAACCTCAGGCAAAAGAAAGACCTCTGACAGCAACCTCACTTTATCTTCCTTTCCACTTCCCTATTCTTGAATTTTCCCCATATCATCTAGCAGAGGCCAACCAAATACACAGTCCCTGTATATCTACTGACCTTCCAGGAAGCAATTAGGTAACATGTATCACAAATTTTTAAACACATACATTGCTGGGCATGGTGGCATACACTTTTGAAGTCTTAGTACTAGAGAGGCTGAGGCAGGAGGATTGCTGCAAGTTCAAGGCCAGCCTGGACCACATAGTGAGTTCAACACCAGCCTGAACTATATAGTGAGACCCTATTTTTAAAAAACAAAACAACAACAACAAAACCACTGAAGGAGGTGTGGGGAAGGGACGAAAAAAAAATAAGATGTGTTATGTACATGTACTAACTCCCCACAATGAAAGCAATCATTATGTACTACAAATGTGTACTAGTAAAAAAGAAATCAATGGAAACAAAATAACCCATATAATCTTTGATTCACTACCTGCTCTCCCCCCCCCCAATGGTAAAAACTGAAGCCAGGACCTTACACATGTTGGGCAAGGGCTCTAGCCGCCCCAGCCCTTTACTAAGACCTTCTTAGGGAAAGAAGAAATTCAAACAGTTGTGTAACAACATCACTGCTGTCATTTATAATGAGAAAACAATCTTCTAATAACAGAGAATACATCAGTTACAAAAAGAATTTCCTGTGGCCATTAGCGCAATGAAAAAAAAAAAACAGCTAGCAATCAAAATTACATCTAAAATATTCCAATTTTTGGCCAGGAATGGTGGCACATGCCTGTAATCCCAGCACTCGGGAGGCTGAGGCAGGAAGATCACTCTGAGTTCGAGACCAGCCTGGGCTACATAGTGAGTTCCAGGTCAGTCTCAACGACAGTGAGAACCTGTCTCAAAAAAAAAAAAAAATTCCAATTTTATCACAAAGAAAAACATATGGCAAGAAATACAAACTGTTAACATTAGTCACCTCTAGATGGTAGAATGTCAATTTTTATTTTATTTGTATTTTCCAAAGTCTCACAAAAACCACACATTCCTTCTTTAATCAGAAAATAAAGGCACACTTATAAATGTTATATTTAAAAATATATATGGTGGCTAAATACTTTTTTACTATTATGGAACTAGCAGGAAGATAATTACTAATTAACATGACCAGAACAAGAAGAAACTATTTTAAAAAGCAGTGTGATTTTTTTTAGTTTGAAAAGGAAGGACCCTTGACAATAGGAATGAGTTTTAAGGGAACGTATTCTCCCTGGTGAATGTCACATGTGACACTCTGTCTCACATGTAAGGTCCTGGACTCAATCTCCACAATCAGAAAAAAAAAAAAATCTCTGAAATGTGTTAAGTGTAATTTGGAGCCCGTGACCTGCTGAGACACTTTCAGTCCCAAGAACTACAACTCTGTTACACTGTTTCTCTTAAAACCTTTTGATAATATGTTTAGCACATCTAAGGAGAAACTTCACTACAAAACATCTTAACATCTTCCAGTCTGTTAAACCTATTTTCATTACCGGGTGAGCTAACCATGGCTGTCCTAGGCAATGACGTATTAACACAGGACATCACCACAGCTGAGACACGGTCACCCTCTCTCCCTGCTGAGTCCCTTGAGCCAAGGACTGTGTCTCACCACCCTGGGACAGTACTGGGCATACAACAGACTTGCTCAGTTGTCGTGAAATGGAGTTGATCACAATATGCACACCTACCACATCCACTAACTGAGATATGGCAAGGCCAAACTTGATTTTTATTTTGTCATTCAGGTGCTCCACAGGACGAACCCATCTTTCGTAGTCTTGAAATAAATCCTTAAACAAGCTGTCTTCGTGTTTTGCAACAAAGGACGATTCAGATAATCCTGTATAACAAATTTTTACAAGTCAGTTTACTTGCTTCTCTCTCACCAAACCTATACTTTTCCTAAAAAACCCATTAATAACTGAACCAAAATTTAGGCATTAACATGGCTTTTGAAATGAAATATTAATTCAAACACATGTGGTCAAATAAGGGACACCTTTGTTCATATACGATTAGTTTTCAGTGAAATCATATCACTCACTATGGAAACAGGCTGTGTTCCTTGAGTAACTGGGGATGCAGCTCAGTGGTAAAGAATCTGGCTACCAAGCAAGAGGCCCAGAGTTCGATCCCTAACACTGCAAAAACAATAAAGAAAAGGTAAGAAAAGCTTTTCACTTCCAAAAGCTGAGGGGACTGCTTGACAAACTCAGAAAACAGACTGAAGCAAAGTCACTTGTCAACTACACATATAAACTAAACATGCTTCATAGGCATAATTTTATATAGGAATATTGCCTGAAGCATTTAGATTTGTCATACCTTTGTTTGCTGCACGTTTGTGTACTTTTAGAACCCAACTCTTCATGAACAAAATATCTAAAAGTTGTAGATACCATGGTCAAAGACTGGCTAGACCTGGTCGTAGCTGCATTTAGGCTTCACTAAGCCTCTCTGAAACAAAGCAGGGTCATCTGGACCAGCACTGCATGGCTGAGCATGGTGGCACACACCTGTATTCTAGCCACTCAAGAGGCTGAGGCAGGAGGATGGCAAGTTTAAGACCTGCCTGTGCAACTTAACAAGTCTCTATCTCAAAATAAAATATAAAAAATTCAGGCATGGTGCTCAGTGGTAGAGCGTACCAGCCAGTACTGGAAGAAAAGGAAAGAATAAAAGGAGGGCGGGGGCAGAGGAGGTGAGAGGAGGAGGGAAGGCAGAAGGAAAAGAGGAGGAGGGAGGAAGGAGTGAAATTCAAGCATGACATTTACTCAAAACTAGTAATTTTATGAAGAAAATCATTTACTTAAATGTGTCACAGATTTATTATCATCACATACACACAGGGATCACAGTAGCTAATGACGATCCTTCTACAATTTAAAAGATGATCCCACAGAAACTAGCACTTGCAATCTTTTTTTTTTTTTTTGGTGCAGGGGATTGAACTGGGGTCCTTGGGCTTGCAAGGCAGGCCACCGAACCGCTGAGCTAAATCCCCAGCCCTTGCAATCTTTTTATTACAATAAACCATGCTTTATGTACAGAGCCATTAAAGATGACTCTAGCTGGAGGAAACTAGTTCTTCGATTCTCTTCCACGGCCCATTTCTTCTGATACAACAACCTCAAGGATTTACATCCTGCTTCCCTGAGCAGGGTAAGATCTAACCCATAAATACAACAGGGCTGGCGTCCTGCCTCCTACAAGACCCCCTTATGAGGGAGCACACAGTACCACTGTTAGACTGTATTAGAATACTGTATCCTAGAGAGACAATGCTAATGTTCAAAAGCAGTTGATTTTAGCGCTTTAAATTAAAATAACATTACTGAACCATTTTTCCTGTTTTAATGCTATGTTAAGGATTTTTTTCATCTTTGAAATGTCAAAAATTTAAGATAGTTTAAAAAGATAAAAATAAGTATAATATCTTTCAACATCATCTATGAATCTTTTTTGCTATGCTGGGGGGGACTAGTTTGAACTGCTGCTATCTCAAATCCTGTTTGAAAGACAAATTGAGGGAGTACAACCTTCCACCTAATGAGAACTTTCAAGACACTTCTTAACAAACATCCTGGCAATCCACTCCATGCTAGAAATACCAATTTTTTAGCACACTTTATAAAACAAGGTGCAAGAGTCACGGTGGTTAGGACATAAACTTGATGGCACCGTCAAATGCTGCTCAGTGGTCAGGCTTTCCTAGTTGGTTTATAAGTTCTGTTTATGCTGCTCAGGATTCAGTCAGAAAGACAGAACTTGGAAGCTCATTCATGGCTGAGCTCTGCCAGGCTCTGCAGCTCCCGATAGCCTCCTGCTGTGGTCACCCTGACACTGTCCATTTTGTGCCACACCCCCAAGAGCTCTGTCCCATGCTGACTACTGCTCACTCACTAGGCAAATGTTCACTGGACTTATGAGATGGGTACTGGGAAGGCACTGATAACAAAAGACCACACTTCCATCTTCAGTCCTGCAGGAAAGACAGGCAGAAGGCGCGGTAACACACATGAACTACATGCTTAACTGGATCAAACTGGAAAATACTATCAAAAACTGTTTTAAATAATTAACATTTGCTCTTCTTTCTCAAGATACTTTATTGTAGCAGAACAAAATGGAATAGCAGTCAGTAGAAATGGGGGGCGGTCAGAACATTAGAGAGGCACCGAGCTTCTTGTCAGTACAGGGAGGCATCTGTCGGCTGAGACATCCTATGCTGTGCTCAGAGTGACCAGGAGAGCATGAATCCCCGAAACACAAATATAAGAAGAGGCTAAAGGGATGGCACTGCTTACTATCCTGATGTGATCACCACACGTTGGTACATACTGAATTACAAGTACCTCACAAAAATTCACAAATAAAAAGATAAAATTAAAAAAAAAAAAAACAAGGGCGCTGGATCTCTTGCAAATAGGGAAGGGACCAAGACATAGAGGGAAGAAGAGGGAGGAGGGAAATGTTAAAAGAATGAAGAGCTGTTACATACATGTACCAACCCCACGAGGAATGTGATTATTACATGCTGAAAACATGTACTAATAAAAAAATTTTAAATTAAAAACAATAAATAAGCACTCTAAATCCGTGACTCTCAATCTAGGTTCCTTACAGTCCTATGAAATTTTTCACACTACATTTGATCAAGATGATATTCGATTTAACACATTATGTACTATTTTGTGTGTCTGTGTGGTTTTATTTTGTTTTTTGGTGGTACGGGAGATTGAATCCAGAAACACTGAGCTATACTCTCAGCTCTTTTTATTACTTTATTTTGAGACAAAGTCTCACCAAATTATCTAGTCCGGCCTTGAACCTGTGTTCCTTTTACCTTAGTCTTCTGAATAGCTGGGATTACAGGCATGTATAGCCTTGCTGGCCTATTTTATGTTTTTCCTACTGATATTATCTAAGTCTTGAATTGCCAAGAAATCAATGTACTGGAAGGCAGGAATCACTTCTGTATTTTAGCATTACTATAGCTAAGTATAAATCTGAACTGTGTTTACTTAATACATTTTAGTTTTCTTTCTCTTCTTTGACTTAAAAATACTTAATTTAAAAAGAGGAAACCTGCTGGTCATGGTGGCACATGCTTATAATCCCAGCTACTTGGGAGAATGAGGCAGAAGGATTACAAATTCAAGACTAGCCTGAACAGCACAGTGATACCTTATCTCAAAAAAAATCAATCCCGGGTACAAAAAAAAATTTAAATGGGCAAGAGATTGGAAATACACATTTCACCCAAGAGCAGCCAGTAAGTACATGAAAAGTGCTCAACATTGTTATCAAGAAAACCGAAACCCAAATCACACCAAGACACCACTGCACACCTACTAGGAAAACAAAAGAAAATGTTAGGGAGGAGGGAAGATGAAACAGTTCAATCACCGTAGACCACAGTCTGAGAATCCTTGCAAGGTTAAAGGGAATATTCCCACAGACCCAACAATCCAAAGAAAATAGATGTTCACACACAAACCTGTCCGTGAATGTTCACAGCACCACTACTCAGCCCTAACAGCCAAAAAGTGAGGAGGACAGCCCCACGTCAGCTGTCATCAAATGACAGATGGGTGGACAAAACGGGATGGATCCAGACAGTGCAAAGGAACAGGAAGGCCATACAGAGAACTTTTGGAAATAATCTAAAAACCTACAAAATGTTAGGAAAATGTAAAATGACTTCTGCTGTCTCTACCAGCTATCTGCTTTGTTTAGTTCAAAAGTAACACACAGCGGAGGCACTGACCCTGAAGTGGGACATCTGGCCTCATCCCTTACTTTGAACACCCACTTCCTGTGCACTAGAATAGATAGCTAGAGGAATCTTAAGGTAAATTCCCCAACTGCAAAGAATTGTTATGTCTGGGTTTAAAGTTAACTATCTTGTGACTGTGATGTGACTGAGGAAATGAAATGTAACCACCTGAATGAGATCAAAGCTGTAAAACCCTACAAAAGAGGGAGCTGCAACCCAATAGGAGGTCGATCACTGGCACTGCCTTTTTGAATGCAACTGACCCTTTGCTGGCAAAATAAACTTCTTTTACTTCCACTCAGCTCGTCTCTATGTGTGTGTCACTTGCCAATTCCTTCCCCAACAAAGGAAAAGGGAATTGTTTGATGGACATCCAGCACCAGCTTTCCATGATGAAAAAGTTGTGGAGATTTGTTACTGAACAATACTGAACTGTATACTTAAAACTGGTTTAAGGTGGCTCTAAATAATGAAAAAAAGAATAAGATAAGACTATAAGAGCAAGAAGCAATTTAAATATGTTCGGGGACCATTTTCATCTCCAGAATTAAGGATTATTTTAATGTTACATCATTGCCTTTTCTCTTTTACTTTCCTTTTTAGTTTTATTTTAGGATTCCCTATTTCTAATGTTCATACAGAGATTTCTTTAACTGAAATACCGAATAGTTTCTTTGGTGCGAAAAACTATAATAGTACACAGGATCCTAATGAGATAATTAATAATGTGAAATAGGAAGTAAAGGGCTAAAGGTATAGGGAAAGTAGGAAGGGTGGTGGAAAGGTAATAAGGGAGAGGAAAAAAATATGACAAACTGAAAAATTTACTGTTTGTAAATGGGGAGGTGAGGAAGGGGGTGAAGGGAGGGCAGGGACAAGGGGGAAAAATGAGAATCAAGACCTATTATGTAAAGGTACAGAATCCCAATGATGAATGTAACTGTATTGTATACCTAGATTGTACCAATAAACTCAATAAAAAAAATAACTGCAAAAAAAAGTGGTTTAGGTGGTAAATTTTACATGGTTTTATACAAGTCAAAAAATTTTTAATTTATAAA